CGATCCGTTTGGATAAACATGCAATTATCCACATCACAAGCAAAAGGAATCCGACAACGATTCACAACAACAACGTAATACGATAGTGACTGTTACCATCTTCACCTTACACACGTATTCAAATCAGAGAAGCTAAAAAATACTCAAATTTTTCTAGTGCATGTTTCGCCACGGTGAAATAATCTGCAATGCATTTTCATTGATTTCTTCACACTCCTACGGGCTCACATTTTGTAAAATCTTTGAACTCCAAAATTCCCAAACGCAAGACTGAGGAAAGGAACAAGCAGGGTTCTGGATACAGTATGGAATATATATAAAATATTCGATTGTTTATTTTATTTCAAAGAAAGCGACGAACTCATAAAAAAACTACATTTTCGGTAAAGATGAAAGGATCTAGAACTCCTCTACTGTTTTACTTTGCAGCAGCAGCAGCAAATGTTGCAGCAGCATCTGCACTATCATTGGTGGTTCCAGGAGATTACCACAGAACAACGTCATCCAAGAATATTTATCCATCCAGAGCGACAATACTACTAACTCAGCATTCTTCCCTTTTGATTGGGTCTATCGACGTTGTTCCTATGTCCTCTAGTAACAAGTCGATGGCAATGATGATGATGCTTCAGAATGCAACCACGACAACTGCAGCAACGACGACTGCTGCAGCCACAGCATCACCAGATGCTGAGCCAACAATGCCTCAACCATCATCCACAAAAAAGGCTAGCATGAGACTCCGTGATCATGATGATCAACTGAAACATGATTCTGATGTCATCTTTGCCATATTCGACGTCAATGGCCGCGGCAGTATTTCGCCAGAAGAATTCTCGAATCATTTGGTGAAGCGAATTGGATACGGGGCTTCTTTTGTGAATCAGTTGTTTGAGGGAATGGATGCCAATCACGACGGTACCATTTCGCACACTGAGTTTCGTACCCTGTATCTGGCAGTTCCATCCCTTCGGACCCTCCCTGGGATTGGACAAGAAGAGTCATTGGCATCAGTCAAGAACAGTGAACAAGAGCAAAGCCTCGTCAACCATGACGAGCTCCAACTGGTCGCTGAGCATCCAGTGTTTGAAGCAGCCGACAAAGATGGCAATGGATCTATAGATGTGACTGAATTGGAATCGCAGCCGAGTCGGTGGCGGCTCCTCGAACAAAAAACTCTTACCTTTCACTACACGGCAGTGGCAAAAATATTTGGTTTGCTTGATGTGAATGGAGACCAAAGCATCAGCAAACGTGAATTCCAAGATGCCTTTGTGCGATATTCGACACTGCGGCATGCTTTGCAGTAAAAAAAAAAGAAATACAGATATTATATAGAAATAGAGCCATATTCAGTAAAGTGAAATGTAGAGTAGCTAGCTATTTGATGTGTCATCATCTATTCTTTCCTTCTTGCCTGCCAATTCCATAGCGTTGCTCGCTTTTTTGCCAACAAGAAGGTATTTGCTCGGAAAGATCCTTATCGATTCGGGTGCCTTATTCAGATTGATTATCACCAGTTGAATCAGGATACTTTTTCTTCGGCGTATGAACCAATGCAAAGACTGCTATCGTAGTAGCAAAATAGGTGACCATCAGACATATAGAATAGTCCTGATCTTGGGTAGACACCTTTCCAACCAACGGTACTGATGTGTGTCCCGGTTTCAAATGTAACAAATGCCAATATCAAGGTGAAATATCCCAAACTACGATGGAATGCATGGCCGTTCTACATGGGCGACAATAGATACAATCGACGAAAGAAGAAATGAGCATGATTGCTGGACGGCGCATCCGTCAATATAAGGCGGAAGAATCCTTACTGCTTCGAATGCTTTCAGCTTATCTAGATACTTCCTTTTCGCCACACGAATCGACACAAAGACTCCTACTGGCGAAGCCAAATAGGTGACCATTAGACAGCTCTAATCCTTGGTAGACAGCCAGTGTCTTATCGATTCCTCCACGGCGTTTTTATCGGAAGAAAAAGTTAACATCCACGGCTTGAGTTTGAGCAAATAGGAATTAAGATACGCTTGCCTATTGGCAAGGACAAGTAGAGGAGCCTGAGTACTAGATTTAACAATAGAACGGCAAATGTTGCAAACCGAGAACCATACAAGCAAACGTCAGTAGAAGTAAGAATTTGAAATTTGGAATTTAAAAAAGTTGAATCACAGAGTAGGGTCGTGCCTGTGATCCCACGATTTGTACTGCAGTAGCGGTCGGAACTGTAACATGAAAGGCTTGGATGTACTTGAGCCTTCGAAGTTTGTGATATGTTTCATGGGTTCAGTAATAGATCGTAGAACATGGAATAAAATGTTACGGGGAAAAGTTTGAGTCGCAAGACAAACAGAACAAAACACTGAGGAAACACGCGGTATCAAAGGCAACAGAAGTTGGAGCTTCAGAAATAAATTTGTTGTCAAAGGAATACCGGTACAGTTTGTTCTTCAGGTCAATGAAACAATCTCAGGGTGTCTCCTAAGGGAAAAAGTGTTGAATATAAGACCTTGTTCACTGGAACAGGGTCGTAGTAGCCTCCGAAATAGGCAGTGTCTCGGAGAAAGACAGAGCTTTTTGGGTCGCTAGACGAAGAGAAACTTGGTGTCACATTTTCAAAATTGGGTCAACTTCGAAAATAAATATGGTGCCAAACGGAAACTCGTATTTTATAAAAGAGATTGTTCGTCAATGGAACTGGGCTCGGTGTTTCCAATTTAAAAAATGGAGGAAACTCCGAAATGAACGGTGAAACAAACAAAATCAATTTTCCAGTGCATGTTTCGCCAACTATTTTTTCGACTTCTTCATATCGGCTCACATAATCTTCGAACTCCAGCAGTTTTCGAACGCATTCTTACATTTTCGGTATAGCCAAAATCATGAAAGGATCTATTGCAACAAGGACTATTTTCTACTTTGCAGCAGCAGCAGCAGCAACACATGGTGCCATGTTTCTCGGTGCATCGGCCCTACTGATTCCAGACCACCAAACAGCGTCAAGTGGATCATCAAATTCTCATCCATCCAGAGCGACGGTTAGGGTGCAGCAGTCTTCTACGTTTGCCGACTCGTCCTATTACTTTCCTCAACATCGACAGAGAGAAGTAGCTACGAGACCACAAAGCATGGAACTCGTTGATCAAGTGCGACACGATGCCGAAGTCAGCTTTTCCATTTTCGACGTCAATGGCCGTGGCAGTATTTCGCTAGAAGAATTCTCGAATCATTTGGTGAAGCGAATTGGATACGGGGCTTCTTTTGTGAATCAGTTGTTTGAGGGAATGGATGCCAATCACGACGGTAGCATTTCGCACAGTGAGTTTCGTACCCTGTATCTGGCAGTTCCATCCCTTTGGACCCTCCCTGGGATTGGACAAGAAGAGGTGGAAGAGTCTTTGGTTTGCGCCCAGCAAACGAGAATTCAATGATGCCTTTGTCTGATGATAGCCATTTGTCCCTGCAATATGCGTTGCAGTAAAAATAGAAAGAAAGATGTAAATATACCCGCACTCAGTATTGTAACATGTACAGTGGATACAACAGTTATGCCATGTATCTATGGAAGTAGTGGTGACAGCTCAGAAAGATCCTTATGTATTTGGATGCTTTCAGATTGATTTTCAGCAGTTGAATCAGGATACTTCTTTTTTGCCAGACGTATCGACCCAAAGACTACTATTGTAGCAGCAAAATAGGTTACCATTAGAGAAATGGAATATTAGTCTTGGTCTTTGGTCGACACTGTCTTCTCAATACCTCTCCCAGTAATGCTACTGATGTGTGTCCCCGCTTCCAACGTAACAAATGCTAATATCAAGGAAATGAATCCCAAATCACGATGCGATGCATGGCCGACCTATATGGACGTCAATGAGATAGACGAAAGGAGCAGTGAGTCTGTCATGACGCACCACTACTGGAAGACTAAGAGTCATTGATTACCTTGCGCCACATGGGCCACTCTTCATAGCGATCCTCTTGAGACTTAGTGGTCCCTACCAATAATCCGACCAAAATAACTTCAATGGCCATCAATATAGTGGCAATAGTTCCAATCAGAGCGTGCGCCATGACATATGACGACATGTATTTCGGATCTCTCGAAAAAGTCGTCAAATGATGATGCCCGTACCCAAAGCCTACGAGCGCCAAGATCACACCAATCGTCATGGAAGACATGTGACAATGGTTCCCAAACTTTCTTTGTTCCCAACTCAACCGACTTCTGAGATGGGATTGTGTAATCAACCCGACAGGGAGAAAGAATCCCCACGCAGCCATCATCAGATAGGCATGTGTTCGGACATCACGTTCACTCCATGCTTCGGGATCCCATGATGATTTAGTCATGCTCCAGGTTTGGTGTGCAGCTGCAAAACCTTTTCCATGATGGATCTTTTCATTTCATGTAATACTCGGCTGTAAATAACTGCTTTTGTCTTTCCTTTTGTTCTTGTTTCGTCAATGGTTTCCATCATGTCTGGTTATTGGTTGCGTTCTGAAAGTGGCAAATTTTAAAATGGCGGTATGGCCCCAATCCCGAGTACGAATGCGTCAGCTCATGCTCTGTGCTGTCAAGGTTCTGATTTGATTTGTGCTGTCAAGGTTCTGATTTGTGTTGTCAAGGTTCTGATTTGTGCTGTCAAGGTTCTGATTTGTGCTGTCAAGGTTCTGATTTGTGGGAGGCAGGCTCTCTCGCCAAAAACACGTTCCAGCAGTCCGTTATTATTGGACGAGCCACAGCACACGCGACCAGATTTGGAAGTGACGTCTTTTTAAGAGACGTGGACAGAGCAATTCAGATAGACACGGACGCTGTGGTTGTTCGCCAACGGATATTTAGTACTGGATCGTAGGGACGTACCGACGTTCAAGGTAACGTGGTACTGTAGCAGCCCTTTATATATATAATTGTGAGTAATATCCTTAGGACATCAATGTCCTAATTATATGTCAATGTCATAAGGATATGTCCTAAGGATATGTGCTTCATGGACCTGGCCCATCGCGCAGAAAACGTGAAAGCGCGCGTGCGGGGCACATTCCTCTCCGAGCTGGCGCAGCTTCTTACAATTCAAACGGGTCGTAGTAGATTCAATGATTGTGCCACCCGCAATGATCGGTCTACCCGCGAACACACAAACATTTAAGCGCGGATTGGCAATCCGCGCTTACATTTAGGCGCGGATTGCCGATGCGCTACTACATTAAGCGCGGATTGCCAATGCGCTACTACATTAAGCGCGGATCGCCAATGTGCTACTACATTAAGCGCGGATTGCCAATCCGCGCTTAAATTTTAGCGCGGATTGTAAATTCGCTTTCAGCGCGAACTGAAAAACAAATTGCTGTTACGACAACCAAATGCAATTGAACACAGCAAACACCGAAAGCTTGCTATCCATCATGGTGTTAGAGACGCCCTGATAAAACAGCATGGCAAAACACTCATCCAGGAACTATTGAGCCTTGGGGATCTGTCGCGTGAAAGAGACAGACGCCGTAGATGATGAAATGAACAAGTTGACTCCAAAAGTCATCTTGAAAATGATTTGCGAAATGAACAACGTGTAAAAAGAGGAATTGGAAAAGTGGGATCCCAAGAAGTTTGCTGCTAGGCTCAAAACTTTTCAAAAGGTGAACGGTTTCTAAAAGCCTAAGACGGGATGGAAAAAGAGCAGAGCAAAAGAAATTACATGGGATCTCTTTCACACCGGAGACATTCCACTCGATGGGAAAAAGTTGTCTACAAAAGTCATCGTGAAGAAGGTGTGCAACATGAGCCACGAGTTCACATAGGAACTTGGAAAGTTTGATTTTGAGAAATTTGCTGATAGACCCAGTCAGAGCGCGGAGGAAGACAAACACAACGACAAAAAAAGAGAAGGTTCCTAATGAGAAGGGTTCTCTGAAAGTAGGACATGGGTAAGTTCAATGTCGGAGGTCAAAAGTGACAAACAAAGTGACAAATCACAGAATGTTTCATAATCACATGGGCTCTCTGAAAATATTGCCTTCATCGATTCTAGGGGAGGTGACCCAAGCCCCAAACAGACACGCCCTGCTGATTTTGGGGCATGGTCCCTTAAATATCAACTGACTTTCTTTTCCGATGTGGGTCCTTTGATAATACTTGATTTGGCCTGCTGATGCAGATCACATTGGCCAGTGTTTGTACCATAGTTGAACATGTAATTTAGGTCAGACACAGTGCCCGATTTGGCATAATCTTTGTTCATTTGTAGGATGAATGTAGATCTGGAATCAAGATGCACACCAAGATCAATATCCCAGTGTCTACTTGCATTGGACTTGAAAGGTTTCTTGTTATCTTTGGTCCATTGAAAACAGTGTTTCAATGAAACTATTGTTAAGGTCAAGGTCGAGGTTGAGGTCAACTTGTAGATCTGCATGTTCATGCTTCCATTGCTGAGCATGTTGTCATTGTCCTTGAAAGTACTGGCAGCTTCTAGCTGTGCTTGCCATTTCTTCATTAGCATCTCTCCTCTGTATTCAGTGGAGACCGCTTTCTTCTTCCAACTTGGTCTTACACGTACTTGTGCAAGGTGTTAGAAGTAAGCGATCCACTGCCGCCTGCAAACTACCTGTTCAATTGACTGCGATTTAGCTGTCCAGGTATTGTTGCCTTCTAAGTATATGAACTTACAGTATATAGAAGTATATAGATCAATCAAAGATCCTACTTTATCAACCAATTCACTCGTTGCTTGCAAT